GGACATACCTGTCCAAAGCTTGCGATAACGTTAAAACATTTACGCTACACTGTATATTCGGCGTTTTCTACTGTCAAGCTAATGCCAACGGTGAGTAATGATGATGATGATGACAATAAACTTTATTTTGTATAAGGTTAAAATATCAGTATAACAATAGAAAATAAATAAATAAATGAATAAATTCTCTATATGCTGTTTTACATAATTATTTGCCGTGTGGGAGACAGGACTGATCAGCAAACCGAGACTGAAGTTGTTACAGCGACAGGATCTTATATCACTTTTTAACTGGCAGATTTTTCTAATGAAACGCGCGTTACATTTTGCCACCAAACTGCTAAACTAAATTCCAGGGATGTTAAAAAATGTAATCGTTTTTGGGTATCCTATGATCTTTTCTCCTCTGCTCGCAAAGCAATATTTCCCGCCCCAACGGCTACTGCCGTTCACAGATTGTGAAACACTTGATTGTCTCCTTGAGAAGTAGTTTGCCACGACAGTCCTTTCTGACAAAATAATAATAAGTAGATATAAAAATAAAAAAGATTCAAATTTTGATATTTTGGCACATCTTACTTTAAGCTAACTTCGTTCAGTCGCAATTTTTTAAATTAGTTGTTTATCTGTTAGTACGACCAGCTCGTGTTTTTTATTTGCGACTGGTATCTTCTTAGGTTACCTTCAAAAAAGGTAAAGGTTCAACCTTTTTTTATCTTGTGTTTTTTTCGTGTTTCGGTAACTCAGCCTAAGGATACTTATGTTTACTGTGGTTTTGTAGAGAACCTTCCCGGTTCAGTCTCGCAATCATACTGAGAAGTCTCTCGTCCCAGGGCCGTCGGGAATATAAGGAAAAAGGCAATTGCAGAGCTATCCCGCCTGAGATTAATTGGAAACAAATAAGAAAGCTTAAGTTTATGCTACCAATCCATAATACTTACTTTAAAGACAAAGAAATAGACCAGGGGTAAGGATTAAGGGATGAAGTACTCCAAATATGGACAACAGGTCACTTTTCTGTATATAAGCTGAGTGTAATAATCTCAAGCCTACCAGGGGAGAAGTGATAATCCTCTATGGGAGATGATAATCCCCCAGGATAGTGTGTCCTATCAAGGCGGTATTAATTCCCGAGGGTAGATGATAGATGGTAGATGATAATCCTCTTTAAATTATAACTAAGATAGTACGTGCGCCCTGATTGGCCGAGAGGCGTGTTTCCATGCATGAGAGTATGTAAACGTGGAACTTTTTTCCTGTATTTGCATAGCGTGATATAAACACTCAAACAGGTTGGTAGAATTCACAACGGTTATGCAAACCCTCGTTTTTGTCTCGGGTTTGCGTAACTGTCACGAATCCTCCCAATCCTTCCAGTGTTTATTTCAGGCTATGCAAACACGGAAAGCGTTTTCGTATTGCTTAACTAGAAGGTGATAATCCCTTAAGGTTATGACTGAGAGGTGAAAATCCCCCTTGGGTAAAGAGAGGTGGAAAGACCGTACCCCTTTTAGATGACTAATCCCCCATCTTAAAGCGTGATAGGAGTCTATGGTGTAAAGGGTGACCTGTATGGGAGTATAGATATGGAAGGGATATCTGCAGAGTTTTCACCAAATTAAAAACAGCAACTAAGTTGCCAGGAACGTAAGTTTTAACCTATCATTTGTAACAGTATCATTTAGCACAATCAGTTGCAGGAGATTTTAGCTAGCTGAGCTTTTCAAAGAAGATCTCCAATTATGATTTGCTCTATTAATTAAAGTTTCAATGATTAATAACCATTTTTTGTTACATTTTCACCCTTGCAGGAGATCTTGGCAGCTCTATACTGAGCTTTTCAAAGAATCTCTTCGATTATGATTTGCTACTAATTAGAACTTCAATCATTGGTGATCCCTTTTTTATATTTTCATCCTTCAATGTTAATTACCGTTGATTTTATTACTTCTAATTCTAAAGTCTTTAAATAGTATAGATTTGCAATAAAAGAGAATTGATTTAATGATCCAATCCATAAGAAACAGATACACAACAATATGTGTGGTACTGAGTACTGGGTTTGTTTTCTCCCAATAAAAAAAAAACAACGATCATGACTTGCAGGTATTTGCAACGCAACAGAATTCAGCATTTGCCAACATCAGTGTTTTATAACTTAACAAGTTTGGAGTATTTGTAAGTTTCTTATTTCGTGCCACAAGCTCTCTAATTCTTTCGCCGTATTGGTTGCTTTCTTTGTACATATCTCTGCTGTTACCATTGCTTATTTTTCTTTTCGTGAGCGGATTAACTGAGCTTTTACGTGAGCCGGCAGGAGACATACATCCTTCGAAGTGGTGCGATTGGTATGATAGTAATCCCTTCTCTAGTTCTTCCGACCAATGGGAACAACCAGCTCGACTGAGACCCCACCATTTCACACAATCTGAAACTCAACGGGTACTACATATCATAAATCTATAATTCTGTAAAGATTCTAAAACACTTGTCACATCTTTTAAAATTCACGACATCCAGTCAGAATATCAAACTTTGGTGCATGGCTTTACGCAGTAAGTGGCCTGGACTGGGCTACTTCCTGCTAAATTAACCAACGAAGTTCTATTTTCGTCTAGGGATGTTTCCTGGAATAAAATTCAGCAGCTAAGAATTGGGATATTCTTCTCTTTGTCAAACCTCGTAACCCTGTAAGTAAGCACAACACTTTTCTTTTTTGTTGCTGATAATAAATTGTTCAAAACAGAAAATGTTCCGTGATCTTCTGTTTGTAATATTTATTTTTAAACGCCACAGAGAGGCTCCTCCAATGATCTGGAGCGATCGCAGATTGCGTTACAACAGCATACGTAGGGTCTTTTTTTAGTCAGTTCTCGAAGCTGGACGATTCTCGTGAATTTCCCTGCACATTTCACCAGTGGAAGAAAGTACTCAATTTTGTTGCATCTAGTTTGCTCTCTTTTTATGACCTTCCTATCTTTTGACATTGACTACTACCTTAACTACCATTCCTTTTAGCTAGCTATTCAAGGCCATCCATTCAACAATTTTCCGCAGAGGTTAATCTTTATTCTTTAACCCTTTTTTTCAACCCCTTAAGAGCCACTTCCACACAGCTCGTGTACTCGTTTATCATCAATTAAGTAGCTGTGCGTTAAATAGGCAGTCAACTTTTTTGTCAATGAAAAGCGTAAGAAACAACTATTAATAGAAGAATTATAACCTGGATCAAACAATCTGCTTTAAAAATGTTAGAGGTATCATATCTCTAATACACAGGGTAGATATATATACTAGTTATGCAATACTTTGGAATAGTATACCATGAAATATTCCTAGAGTGACGTTTTTTCTAAACATTCACATGAGCCTTCCGCTGGCACGTGTATTCACAGTATAATACGAGAAAGCATTGCATTAACTAATTTATCCCACGCCACTCAAAATTATGATATAAAAATTAATAAAGAAACCTTGACATCACAGTCAAACGCAAAGAAAGTTCAATTTTAAAACTACATGTAGTCTGTTAACAGCAATGCCCAAATGATCAAGAGCTTACCAATGACTACAGTTCGAATTCACCTCTATCAGCTTTTCTAAAATCCTAAAGAAGATGGCAAGACAGCTGTCGATTATTTCTGACTGGACTTTTGTTAGACTTGTTGTTTCGAAGTGCATGTGTGGATCCACTTGGTCTCGGTCCTTGCAAAACTGGTTCTCTGATTTTTTAATTACTCCTGGTTAACGATTTTCTTAACTTCATGGTCCGTTGTAATCTTTTTAAAGCTGTTTTATTTCGTTTTGTATCACTTTTTTAGCTTCGACTTTTAAGAAGTCCGAATTGTAGTTACAGATTGGGGATTTTGTTTTTTTAAACTACAGTAAAGGCGAATGAAGGTAAAAGGCTTGTCGGGGCTTATATAATTTTCTCTTGTTTTTGTATTCAAGGTTTCTACAAAACAACTTAATCGATTCTATTTCAAATGAAACCTTTTCTAAACTTAAAGACCTCGAAATACTGTAAGTGTTGCTGAAATTATAGTTGCGGTTACGTTCAGGTACGTTCACTCGGTAACACCTTTATCCAGATTTTATCTCCGCCCTCAAAAATAATAAAGGATTGTTTACACGAAAGATAATACAAATTAAGAAGTTAAAAAACCGTACACATAGTACAGAGTCAACGCTTACCCAAGCCGCAGCTTATCCTGGCCAAGGAATTTGGAATGTACTTATCCAAGCGGCAGCTCATCATAAACGTGAAAGTGTTTTAATAGGCCTTTTGCAGTAGTAGGTCACGTGATCAACTTTCTGCAAACATGACAACACTTCGCTTTGGAAATTTTGTTAGCATTGTTAGCAGGAACTGAAAAAGCATTTTAAAATTAGGTAACCTGCAAATTTTCAACCGTATATCTCAATATGCAACAACAGCGATTACAGCAGCCGCCGAAAATACAAGCCAGGATTTCTATGGAAAAAAAAAGTCTTGTCACCCAGCCACGCTTAAGTAGTTTCCCATTCAAATCCTTGTAAATTTTTAAATTTTTGAGCTGTCGTTAAACCTTTTCCCTTATGAATTTAAGTGCTCACTGTCTGTTATGAATGGAAGGGAGATTTGAGCCCCGTAAAATATTTTACGACAGTTTGAAAATTTGGAAATTTAAATCTTTCAGTTCGTGCTAAATTTTTTTCATGTTTGCAGATAGTTTATCACCTGATCAACTAAATAAATGCAAAAGGCCTATAATGAACTCAAACGCTGTCTGCGGTGGCTTGCTGAAGCCTCAAACGGCTGTTACCCATGGTCGCTAGCCTCGTGTCCTTAATATAAAATGTTGTGGGCCAGAACGCCTTTTCATTTTACTCCCGTCTACTCCCTGAATCTAGTGATCTAGTGAATCTAGTAATCCGAGATACATTGATTGTTTTGAAAGTGGAAAGGGCAAAGACAAATACGGTGTGCTTTTAAAGTTACTACATAAATTTAATTTACTATGAAAAGGATTTGCTTTTATGGTACCTACGTACTGACTATAGTTAGCTTTAATTTAAGGTTACTTTTCTCATGAATTGTGTTGAACGTTAACAATTGAATACGTTTGATTGAACCAAATGGGTTCGCCACCTATTGCATTTAATTTTTTCCTTACAAATGAATTGATGTCTATTTTGTTGTATACACAATTTGTTCTTGTTGTTGTTTTAAATTTAGATTACTCAATCAGAATCGCCTTGAAACAATTCCTGATCAAGCCTTTAAGAACTTGGAGAGCCTAAGAGTAATGTAAGTAACTGACAAGAAATGAAAAAAAAGTTAACTTACTTGTCTGATGATGGGACTTGTTATGTCTGTTACGACTTTTATAGATTTCATAGTTTTGTTTGAATTAGTTTTTCACTAGGTTACATTCATAACAATATGCGAACTTCCACCAACGCTAAAAACAGGTACATGTAAATGCATTTATTTTACCTCAACGTGGCTCGGTTTCCCTCCCTCCCTAAGTAATCGCTAACTCCAATTTGAGCTTTTTCTTACCGGCCTTATAAGATTTCTTTGTGCAAACTTGTAAATTTCTTGTAGATCGAAGTCTTGTCATTTCTCAAACATCAATTGAGATTTTATGATCAATGCATTTTTATAAATACCAGCGTCAATTTTACGTCTTATTTTAAAACTAAGAGATTTTGTTTACAGCAGAGCTCCACGCACACGTGACTACTTTACCCTGGTATGGAAGTCACGTACCCGCCCGTCTGCACCATAGGGGAGTCAAAGCAAATGCATATCACATGTTCTAGCTGTTGTGGAGCCCGCAAAAATTAGAAAGACGTACTTAGACTTCTTGATTAGACTTGGTGGTACTGACCACTGATATTGACCACAAAAGGCCTACATAAACCAAGTGAAAAATGGCATAAATTGTCCAAATTTATTGCCCCACCTCATATACCCATAATGGGACACATGTTTTAACAACAGGACAAACATTGCATAATATTATTTTAGATCCAATGTTTAAGTTTACTAAAAGCGGTGAAGTATTAGGCACTAGTTACACTTCGTTAATATTTACATAAGTAAAAATAAGCGAATTCACGCATTGCAAAATGACGCACGTAAGCTGATGGACATTTGGGCTTTCGTTACTTCATTATCCATGGTTACTTTTAGGGGACCGTCGCTCTAAGGAAGAGAACAAAAAGGAATGAGGGTCACATACTGGTCATTTCTTAAAGCATCTTTTAGTCAGGAACAATGAATTTCGCAGTCGGTTTTGACTTAATTCTGCCTCACAATTTGATGGAACCAATGTTAAGAGAATTGTCAGCAATTAGAATTGTTTGGGTCTACATTGAACCTCAAAAGTTCGAGTGTCCATGATAAGGAATTATTATCGTTTCAAGGGACTTGAAGGTTGTCTTCTCGAGTAATTAGTGGACTAGCTGTGGGGCGTGAGATTGCTTTGGTTGGCTTGAACGAACAATCTCTCCTTTTAGTAAGACTTTGAAAGGAATAAACTATACAAGAGCAAATGATACTAGTGTGATATTTCAGCACATCACATTACCTTTGGTAAGTTAAGCGCCATCGAAGTAATAATAAGAAAATGTTTACTCAACCTGTGGAGTACATGGCACAAATACATAAGCTTAACCAAAAGGACTTCCATTCATATTTTTCTGATACATTTGATTCATTTTTATTTGATAAACGTTACCTCACAGTTAAATAAGGCGTTTTCTGATATATTTGATTCATTTGTATTTCATAAATGTTGCATCACACTTATAATTAGTTATCTACTTTGACAATTTCTTTGACAAATGTTGCCTCGCAGTTATAGGAACCTCTTTAGTTATCTGATTTTAAGCGGCCACTTGGCATCCAATTTGAATATTTGCAATTTTTGCCAATATCGCCAATTTCGCCAAAATCGCCATTTCCACCAAAATCGTCACTTACCAAGGGGCCACATTTTCCATCCAATTTGAATCGCCAGCCTTAACTTCTGGCAAATTTTGCCACTTTCGTCAAAATCGCCACTCTCCAAAGGGAGAGTGTTCCAAATTCGCAATTTTTGCCAATTCAGCCATTTTCGCAAAAATCGCCAATTTCGCCATTTTCGCCATTATCGCCAAAATCGTCACTCTCCAAGGGGCTTCTTTTGGCATCCAATTTGAATTGTCAGCCCTCTGGCGATTTTTCGCCATTTACGCCATCCAAATTTGCCATTTTTGTCAATATCACCAAAATCGCCACTCTTTAAGGGGCCACATTTAGCATCCATTTTCGCCATTGCATACATTTCTGGACATAATTGCGTTTACGAATAGCTCTTTGAAACCCCTTGAATTTGTTGCCTTACCGTTGCAATTTGCGCTGATCAGTTTTCCTAAAGCTGTTGGTTTTCTTTGCGGTTTTCCTTGCAAATTTTTGAAAGACACGACCTCGAAAAGCAACAACATCTGGAAAACAGGGATTTACCGAGTGAACCGGTTTGGCAAGTTTTCAGTGACCAATCAGCTACAGCGTTGGTGAAAGCGCCCGAAAACACGACTCACCTTAATCTGTCTCGCATTCTCGTTATATGAGAGGACAAGCATTCACGTTTATACTGAGTCTTATTTTATAATCCTTGAGTTGAATAATAGATTTCTTATTGGACAGTTCAGCGTGTAGCATCTTTTGATATTTTTACTCGTCCTTTGTATTTTGTCACCGAGCCGGCTAGCCAAAATACAGCGTGACTCGTAAAAATATATCCCTTAATACTACATACTAAACTGTCCAGTAAGATGTATGCATTTTTCTTCAGCCTTCTTTCAGATAATCGTTTAAAGACAGTCGGGATACATGCCTTTACTTGTATGCCTGAAAGCCTGATTATGTAAGTAGCTTCCTTTCACCCCGTTTTCCAGAAGCAACCTTTCAGAAAAACGTTTTAGGCCTGCGAAAAGTCACCAACATACTGGCGAAAGCTGGTACCTTACTGATAAACATCACGTTAATCGAGACTTTGATTTTCCTTTTTTATCCTAGATATCTGATACGGACGGAACTAAAATCAATTAGCCCCCATTCTTTTAAGGACATCAGCAATCTAACGACCATTATGTTAGTATGGTACATGTTAAGTTTATTCTCATAACCACTTTCCCCTTCCATTCAACTTTCTCCGTTATCTCGTATCAATTACCTCAAAATAATCACAGGGATGTCAATGGTTGGTAAGTTATAGTTGTCTCGAGAACTGGTTACTTTGCATGTAAATCGCTACGTGTCGATTACTGCTTATTCTGATATAATTCAGTGGTTATTAGCACTTTAGCGTGTGATTCTTCGTCGATCGATAACTGAACTTCGTTCTAGAGGTGATTGTGGTCCCAGAGGCGGTTGAAGTAAGCTAGGATTTTGTAATGATGAGTCGATTGTCAGGGCGGTCAAGCTCTTGGAATTTTTTCCCGTTTATAAAGATACACTTGCCTCAGTCACCTGGGAGGACTCTTGTAACCCCTCCGTCTTGCTCAGCAGGGTCGGGAGGATCTTTTGGCCGCTTCTGTAAACAAAAACAACAGCAACATGCTGCTAAAGACTTCAAATTTTAACGAAAACCAAATCCAGTAATTGGAAGATATCGTTTCTCTCACAATAAAATCAGTGCTTTCAAAATCTAAAAGTCGCGCAAAGTTTATAGTATTTTTTAAACACTCTGAATAACTGGAATAGGGCGACTACTTATTATTTTTAATTCATAATGAAATTATTCACGTCTTTTAGTGTTTTGATTAGGCTATAATTTCGAATATAACTTTCGTCCGTAGAAGCTTAGAAGAAGGAGAAATCGGCACTATGAGATTTATGAGCCTGGACCACACCTGTACAGTTTACCTGTAAGTTGAATAAAAAAAGGATTGCCTTTTCTTGTCTTTATGAAAATATATAATTTTGTCATAACCGGAGCTTACCCCTTTTCTCTACCTATTTAGTGGTTTGGGGCAAAATGAATCAGAGTTCATCAACACTGAACGCAAAATACCGCTTCCGGCAAGCGGGCAAATAGACGCCAGCTTATCAGAGTCCTTTAGTCGGGCTGGATTTGCCAATAGAACTTACGGAGAAAAAAAGTTTCTTCCCTGTTCAGTGGGAACATTTGTAAATTCAAGTGTTACTGATCCTAGTGAGCTAAAGTGCTTGGAGTGTCCGGCAGGTAAACCACCTTTTAATCACCTATTGTTATAGTACATGTACGTAGTATTGCTGAACACCAGAAATATTTCTGGAATGTTACTGTGTGGCAAAAAAAAGCCACGAGGCCTGAAAAAACTAACCGCAAGCAAGAACTTTAGTCGGTTAGTTGTTTTGTGACTTGCTCTCAGCTCATGTCTTGATCTTTGTTGTGATTCGTGGTAACACAAACATGAACATTCATGGAACATTTCAAGTGTTCACGGTTTTGCCGCTGTAATCAGGCCGGGAGCTTTTCATGCACGGAGACCTAGGGGCAGTCAGAAATTTTTCAAGAACGTGCGGGAGACTGTGCCCGATAAATACCGAACGGTTTCAAAAACTCCAAATTTTACAGCGAATGCTTGGCTCATTGACCTTTTTGCCACCCAGCAATTTGGCAGTTTTCGATGGCTGATAGTCCCTTCAATATTGCTTGCAAAGAGCACAAAAAGTGCACAAATTACTCAAGTTAATCAGCTCTTTCAACTTGTGAATTCAATTCGTATGTACGGTCAAGACTTCTATGAGCTAAGTCGTATGCGAATGAGGACAATGTAAACAATGACGTCAGCGAAGATTCGCCTTAACAGACAGTCACCAGAAACAACAGTTCGACGGCCAAAAGTAGTTTAGAAGTTTGCACAACTTAAGAGCATCATTGCTTCATTTTATGTAGTTTATGTTAACAGTTCAAAAAAGATAATTTATCCTTTTGATATATCCCCTAGCCTACTTTACTATTCAGTGGTAACATTTATAAGAACAACAACCTACAAAATACCACAGTTTGTCCAAAATTGATCCAGGGGGGTGGTTTAAGGACAGGGTTAAAGCTGGTAACCTTTCCAACATATTTGAATATGCTTTTACCTTCAAACGGATATATCTCAAAACAATTTATAAAGGTGAATATATTTAACAATTTTTCCTCGAGCCCGAATGGGCTCTGAGTCAATAGGGTTTGGCTCAGTGGCCATGAGGGCGAGAGGCTTAATCGTTTTATAGCAAAATCCAACTAGTTGGTCAAAAATATCGAGAATAAAAAAAAAATAGCTTGTTAAAGCTAGACTTTAATCAGAACGCAGCATTGAAAATAGACCACTAGTTGGAATTTACTAATTATATTCATATTGCTTTTTATTTCAATAAACAGGCGGATTCTACTCTGACACTAAAGCCTACGTTGGCGACAGCTGCCTAAGATGTCCCAACGGAACCTTTGTTCACTACAATAATGCGCCTGGAGTTCAAAAATCGGATTGCATTGCATGCCCACAAGGTACATGACATTCATAAAGTGAACTTTATTGGCAAATGTTATTTCAATCTCAGCCCGAACATTGCACTAGGATAAAATATTTTCTGATTTTTTTTTCATTATTATTATTATTTACCAAACTGTAACTCGATTTATGAATGGATTATATCTCTTGGTAATTTATCAGCACACCACTACCTTCTAATAATTTAATTGTTTTCTTGTTCAAAATAAGAGATATATCACAATCTTTGATTTTAATAGCGGAACTCCAGGCGCGTGTGAGCGTAGCCCCCTAGCTAAGTAAATCTATCCATCCTAGAAAATTTGGTAATTACGTGACCGTACGCCGTCCGCCCGAGCGACCCTTCCTCCATACCACAGGAAAACCAATGTTAAATGTCACACTTTAAAGCCCAGGTCTATGTTGTGATCAATTGACAGGTTTGACAGCAGGCTCAGGTATCGACCCATCGAGGTCGAGTATCTTTTTGAAGTTATCCGTGTACTGTTGAGTTATGGATTCACTTAAAAGTATGTCTTGAGAGGATTGCTAAGCTCACAAGAACTCGATGTTAGTTTATTGACGTCATCAGCGTGCTCCTGATTGCGAATATGAAGCGCGCTTGCTCTATTGAGTTTCATTAGGCGGATATTCTAGCTATGTTATAAATGCCATTTGTTCTTCTTGTTCTACATTTTAAGGTATCTCTGTTCTTTTCCTAAAAGGTACAGATACGAACGGATTTGCAGGATTTCGCGCCTGTAAATGCTTGGACAATTTCCATCGAACCCATTTGTTTGAGGGATGTTCGCCATGCACTCAACCTGGATTGCAATGTCTACATGATTTTGCTACTCTACAGAGTGGATATTGGTGGAAGTGGAGAAATGAAACAGACAAAAATATTTATAAAAACTTTACCTCCGGCGTTAAGGATGCTGATGTTACTCCTGTGGTACTTACAAAATCTTCCATGAGTAATGGCACTTACATTGAATACCCAAACAATCTTCCTCAACCTCAGAAATGCCCCAGAGAGAAATCTTGCATGGGAGGTTTAGACGCCTCGTGCGCCGTTGGGTACGAAGGTCCCTTGTGCGAAATTTGCAGCGCTGGATACTATAAACAGTTGAAAACATGTCAGAAATGTCCAACTAAGAAATGGATGATCGGGCAGCTTTCAATCCTGACAGCAGTAGTTCTCGTAGTAGTTGCACTTGTAGTTTGGACAAGCAAAAAGAAGAGGAAGAAAAACGAAGAACGGCCCACAGTAGATATCATTCTTGGGCGACTAAAGATTGCCATTGGTTTTTATCAAGTAACTTCTGGAGTTCTTGAAGCATTCTCGTACATCAAATGGCCACACTCCCTCACTCAAATTGGAGAATACTCCAAGTTCCTGCAAGGAAACGTCTTTCAGATTGTTCCCGTCCAGTGCCTCTTTGAAAACCTAAAAGTCAATGCATTTGGAAGTTTGTATGCTATTTTGACTTTAAATGCAATTGCAATAATTGGGGCTGTGTCTGCTTACGGAATCACGAGGCTAACTTTAACGCGAAAAGCTCAAAGCCAAGAGATGAAAGTCAAGAAAATATCACAAACGAACGAGGTGATCTACAGAAATCTGTTTTTCTTCCTTCATGTGACGTACCTAAGTACCTGTTTGAAAACAGCAAATGTTCTTCCCCTGGCCTGTCACACAATCTGCGTCGACGAAGACGACGAAAATTGTGAACGGTTTCTTAGGGCCGACTACAGTGTTGAGTGCACGAGCTCGGAATTCAACAGATCGATAATCGTTGCATTTTGCACTATTGCATACATTGCATTTCTACCAACTGCATCTTTGATCATTCTCTGGAGAAACAAGAGCCACCTTAATCAACAGCATTCGCCAAGTCTTAACTTGAAAAGCAGGGAGGTTTTGACGGGGTTACGGTTTCTCTTTGAAAACTATAGCGAACAGACCTGGTATTGGGAACTAGTAGAGACAATTCGAAAGGTCGTTTTGACCTCTGGACTGATCCTTGTGGGAAGTGAGAGCCGCACTTATGTGGGATTGGCATGTGTCATATCAGGTCTCTACGGGATGTTTTTTGCTTATAAGCGTCCTATAATGGATCCTTTTGAGGAAAAGTTAATGTTGTCATCTCTTGGCGTTACGTTTGTCAATTTGGGAATAGGAACTGTCAGTCGAATTCCCAAAGAAGGCCTGCCCGCCTCAATCAATCCTTATCTCGACAACATCATTTTCAATGCACTGGTGTTTGGAGCTAATTCTTTAGTAATTGGGCTTCTTTTTGGTAAGTATTACATCATTACACAATTATAGACTATTTTTTAATCGTCCATGTCTCAATCAAAGTTTGACTTCTATGAAAGCTCAGAAGAACGTTTGATGGAAGAAGAGGACTTCAAAGAGTTTAAAAGTCGCTCGACGATTGTCAAAAGAAAAAAAAAACGTCTGTGTAAAGGCTAGCATTGCTTCGAGCGTAAAAGTCACAGTAAATCGCGTTTTTTAAACACTTTGATGTCGCTTTCCTAGATTAAAAAACGTCAACGCTAGGATTTTCTTGAATGTTAATAAAGTTCTACTCTAACACTGCGGCAAAACGCCGATTTGATCGCGGCAGTGATTTTGTTTGGAATAAAGAACCATTGAAAAAAGATCATTTTGCCGACTGACAGTTTAATTCTAGCGTGGAAATGGAAATACATGTAGGGATAAAAAGTACACGACCAGAAATTAGATCTCTTCAACAGAATTTTCAAACATGCATCGTAAAGGTAGAGCTTTATCTGCTTCTGTTAACTTGCCAATCTCAGTGGAAACGTTTTCTTTTGTCGCTCCTTGGAACATTAGTGGCTGGATCGAGCTGACCGTTATTTTTCTTTATTATATGGTTACGATAGTAGTTCTTGACCCGAAGCCTATTTTGAGTTATGAATGAAAGACACGAATGCGTTGGTGACTTTTCAATAACTGAAGGCAAAAACGTTAGCATGATACGATATTTCTTTAGCCGGTAGGAGCGACGAAGAGAGCCACAGTGAAAGTTAATTCTATTATCCTGAAGAAGATGAACATGCCAAAACTGAGCAAAATAACATGACCAAAGTTGCCACTTACGGAGCCATAAATTTCAGTGACAGTCGAGAGGAGTCACAAAAGTTTGTTCAATAACAGAAACTGTGAAAACACTGTGAAAAAACGTCAACGTGAAGTGTTTTTCACCGTTTTCTTAGCGAGATAAATAATTAAAAGTTCAGATTTTTCATAAATAAAGTTGTATTTCTACACGATGAGATTAAAGCATCTCACTCAAAAATTAAACATGTTTTTAGTATCATTTGGAAATCAACGTTCAGTTATTGCTCCTGGGTTATGGTTGGAGCTCTTCAATTAGGCCGCAGATGAATTGTGTTTGCGTCTATTTTCTTTGCAGTTCAGTATTTCATGCACATCTACCGTTATTTCAACAAATGGCGTAAGAACCCCAAATGGTCGTTTTCGTGCTGTCTTGCCCTTCTTCTTCCTCTTAATGAATTGCAAGGTGAGGTGCGGGGCTTAAGTGGGAAAAGCTTTACTCAACAACAGCTGCAAACTGGAAAAGATGACATGCCCTCTATGTCCAGTACGTTAAAAGACAGCGGTGCTATTAACTTCAGTCTTGAAGGTGAAGAAAGGAACGACAACAAGACAACAAGGAATATCAGTATAGGAACTAAGGAGGACGACATTGATCTGGCTTGTGTCACTATTCATTCACCGCGAGGGGTGTATGACACAGCTTTTTAAGTGGTTATCATTATGTAAAATGTAACTGACTCGTTTGTTATTTAATTTTAAACTGTAATTATATTGTAATTATTATTGCAAAATGTACTACTGCTAAAGAAATATTTAACATAGCTCAAACACGAGAGGTTGGTAACAATATTACAGTGGCCAACTTCATCCAAGCACTACCAAATCAGTCTATTATTATTTGTCTAACTTAAGCAATTTAAACGGAGCATATTTGCTCAGTGTAAAGGTCTAGGGAACAAATTCCAATTAGTCCTAGAGTTTACGTTTTTAGAACTTTCTATCATGGTTTTCATATTGAGATTTGTGGATTTGTTGGAAAATATAGGCGCTGGTTATGGACGTACGTTGTAAATTTAGTCTTGACCGAAACAAAATTTGGTGTTTAATTGTTAGTGATTTTAAATTCGTAGGTGATAGAATACAGGCATCAAAATGGAAATTAGTAACAGATTCAAGTGTTGCATGCGTTTGTAGGAAAATGCGAGTGATTATATATTAAATAACTGATTGCATTTTAACACGTTAGAATGATGGAATAGAGCCTCTTTTACGTGTTATGTACCGATGAATATATTTCATCTTAAAACGAATCATTCATACGCATATTTTCCTTGTAGCCTTCTTTTCTTTTTTTTTTCATAACTCTATGATTCTAAACTTTGAAACATCTGTTTTCGAAAGCTCTTTTTTTTTAAAGTTCAAAATATTAATTCACTTTCCAAATCAGAAAGAAGGACTGTAGCCATATGGGATTCGCCAATTAATAGCACACTTCCCTAAAGACAACCAATCCACATCCCTCCTATCCAGCCCCTCCTACCCCTCCCCCCCCCCACCGAGCACACAAACACCAATGCAAATACCAACCGCTGATAGGTTCCCAAAAGAACTCCAAACCACGATTTCCCTCACACGTGATGTCACCGGGACAAAGGCTAAATTATACGCCAAATACATAACACATGTACTTCCTTTGGGAATGTTTATTCTCTTTGGGGTCATATCCTTATTTCTCTAGGAAACTGCCGGGGGATGGAAGTGATCAACGCAACAGGGGAATGAATGAAAAAATGAGAAAAAACAAGACAAACCAAAACGAACTTAAAAATTATTTAACTACTTTACCTTGTTCTAATGTTCTGTCCTTGAGGTCCTTTTCCAATTAAATTTCGGTTAAAAAAGAAGAAAAACAATTGGCAAGATAAAGATTTGAATTTACTAATAACAGTTTACAAGCATCTGCCTCTATCACAGATTATATCACAGTATACAGCCGGCAAAGTTTTGCATAAGTTGTAGTTTATGGATGTTTTCTTTAGAAGTTCCAGACAATACGGTCGAGCAATAGAACAGTTTTCTAAATACTAGGGAATTCAGGATTATATACAGTTGCTTATTTACGATTGAAACTGCACCTCCATGTTGGAAAATCTACAATTACTGCAAACTTCAATTACTCAACGAAGCAGGAAAATAGAACAGCTTTAGTCAAGATGAGTCAGCCGCGACCTTATGCTGAGATTTACATTAAATTTGCAAAAAGAATACCACAGAGAAAAAAAAAAGATCTAGCAGAGTTTATCAAAGAACCTAACGGTGACTTTCTTCTTTGAAAAAAATAATAATTATAAAAAGAGTATACAGCCTGGAGTTCAGAGAAAAATTATTCCTTTGATTGACATGCTAATTCTGGAATAAGAGGAAGAATTATTATTCCCGAATTTCTGCTCCAGCCGGAGCAGAATTTGCTCGGAGTAATACGAATATAAACGTCATTTTCCTCACGATGCAGATGGTTTTCACCCCTAACAAGGAAATTGGCGGATGTCGTCTGTGACAATAAAAGACCGATTTAAACGAGGAAAGTCGAGACTCCGTAGAAAAAAAAAAGAAAAACTCTTTTTATTTCATTTTTTCACTCGGGGTAGCCTGTAGTGTAATACAAACAGTTTACCTGAGCTCATTATTTTCAAAGCAAAATATCCTCATACGATAACCTTCCTTCATTGAATTTCCCTAGTTTTTTTCCTAAAATATTTTCCCTTTCCATCGGACTTGTTTGTTGACGCCATATTTGTAATATGCCATATTTGAGAAATTGTTGAACAAAGTAAACTAACTGACGGGTCATTTTTCTGAAAAGACAAACTGTCGTTTTATCGATAGAATATTCAACTATTATTCCACGAGTGCGGGTTGGATACCAGATGTTAGATAGCAAACAAGGCGCTTAGCGCCGAGTTGGCTATAATCATCTCATATATATCTAACAAGCGCGAGTGGAAAAACTGTTTTATTAAAAACGCCCATAAAATATCGAGAATTCTTCCCGACTTTATTTGTAAAAACAATCGATTTTCAGTTTGTTTTTAATTTTGAGCAGACGCGTACAGTTACCATATTCGGAGAGCATGGTAAAATGGCTCATACACCATGATGGCTAAGCCAATCAGAGCTCAAGAATTGCATTATCCAATGATTCAGTTTTTAATGATAAGGATTATTATTCATTCAAAATATTTCCCCGATTCTGATTGGCTAATAGCATACGCATAATTCACCATAACCAGTTGCTGATGATATTTGGAAGAATTTTGTGTTTAACGAGGAAATAACGTCAAAAATGCAGGGTTTTTGGAGGTTAATGCGCCGTTAACCGAGAAGACCTGGGGACGAGGTTGAGTTGTTTTGGTTGTGGAAACAAAAATGGCGGACATTTCACTCGTTTCAAGAGTAAGAACTAGACAAAATAATAGCTAAAAACATGGCAAGAACAGCAAAAAGACAACTCGAAGGGCGACATCTGCTATTTGGAGAATATTTGTGGAGCTGAACAACCCTAAACGTGCACTATCGAAGATGAACTTAACATCGATGGATCGATGGAGGTAAGTATGTTTTAGCTATGTTTTTAAACGAGGAATTATTTTGAATGATTAATAAAACAATTAATGAATTCGGCTTTCGTATCTTATGAAGAATTTTGGACGTCGAGGCTGTAGGCTGAGGCGGATAACACCCTCCGAGATGTCCATAATTCTTCATAAGATACTCAGCCTCATTCATTAATTGTTAAAAAATCCAGTGTAATTTTGTTTTCCTGTTCATTAATAAAGTCAATAGAAAGCACACTGAAAGAAATATCTCACTAAGATTCGCAGCACAAACTGAAATTTTCAGAAGTTTGATAGCTGGTACCCTGTGAGACCATCAAGCTGTAAACATCTTAAAAAACCCCTTGGCTTTGATTTGTATTATAATGTATCTTCTAAAGTCAATAGAAAGCACCTTAAAAGAAATATCCCACTAAGGAAGATTCGCAGCACAAACTGAGAATTTTCAGAAGTTGGATAGCTGGTACCCTGTGAGACCATCAAGCTGTAAACATCTTAAAAAAACCGTGGCTTTGATTTGTAAGAACTTTTCTTGCAGATTGAATAAGTGGAAATCTTTTGGCAACGTCGAGAAGTAGACGGGTATGTTGTACATATATTAACTTTCTCATGTTCCTGAAAAATCTCTTAAATTAAATGACAACATACGGATAAAGACGATAAGCTAACGGTCCCGCGACTGTGATTCTTCAGTTTGCTGATGTACCTTGTCTGATGTTACCTTGTCCTTGTTTCTTGTTGCTAAAGCAAACGCAAATCTCCTTGTTTCTTTAGCCTTAGTTTTGGGAGGCTTGTCTCATTCGAGGACCAGGATTGACCTTTTAAGAAAATAAAACGAAGCCGAAGTGAACGATGGTCACTTTAATTCGCGTTTGTTAATCAGAAGCGGAATTAGGATATCTTATCATTGAACAATAGGCTAGCCTGTTCACATTAGCAGGATCTGTGGAAGTGTTCCGAAAATAGAAACAGACGACTAGATCTAATTCGGAAATACCAAATAGCAGAGGGAAGAAATTTTAGGAAGCTTATTAAGTTGAATACCTTTTTATAATGACGTTTTAAAAATAAAATTATTGTATATATTTTTTGGAAAGTTACTTTTATTTCTTTGTTTTCGTTATTTTTTTGCAGGTAGTCTGCTACTTATCCTTTGAATGGCTAAGTTGGTTTTTATGTCAATTTTTGCGTTCACGTGGAAACTCAAAGGTAACTTGCAATTTTCCTGAGCTTTCAGTTAGCTTCTGGCCGTAGCATGGGGCATCACCCACCACCCCAGAGGAAATAATCAACATTGTTTCCTCTCTAAAGAAAAGAAACAGTGAAGGAACGGACTGCATTAATATCAAAGTAATTAAGGCTTCTATTTATCTCATGGCATATCCCCTGTCTGAGCTTTGTAATGTATCCTTCTCCACAGGTATTGTTCTTGATTCTCAAAATCAGCAAAGTAGTTTCCATATATAAAATTGTTGACAACACTAATTTTACTAACTTAACAGAACCATTTCAATCTTGCCTTTTTTTTCTAAAATCCTTGGCAGCACTATGTACTGTCGTCTGATCAACTACCCCAGTCAATAAGCACAATATACTCAGTTATCACCAGTGTGGGTTCAGAAAGAAACACTCAACTTTTATAGCAATTCTGGAACTTACAAACAAAATATTTGAATCTTTTGAAAATAAGGAATTCACAATTGTTCTTTTTATAGATTTCAAAAAAGCATTTGATACTGTTGATCATTCTCTCCTTCTAGACAAATTAACCTTCTTTGACATACGAGGTACACCTCTAAATTGGATGAATAGCTATCTTAATTCTCGCCTTCAGTATGTACAAATAAACAATTTGAAATCTCAAATGTTACTAATTAAATGCGGTGTCCCTCAAGGGTCTATACTAGGACCACTTTTATTCCTTATCTACAAAAACGACATATTCTCGTGCTCTAAATATCTCTCTTTCATCCTTTTTGCAGACGACAGTAATATTTTCTTCCAGCATAAGAATATCTGTGAACTAATAGAAATTGTAAATCGTGAACTATCTTTGGTGGCTTCCTGGTTCAAACCTTATAAGCTAACTCTGCAAAAAAACAACTTGCATATCGATAATATTTCTATAAGTACTGACGGGAACAAAATTAAAAGAGTAGAATGTACTAAGTTCTTTAAGGTGTTGTCATCCACGAAAACCTTTCTTGCCAGCCTATTATAAAAGCTATTTCATCCAAAGTAGCTAAGTCCACTGGAGTTATTATTAAATCAAGACAGTTCTTTCTTACTAATACTCTTCTTCCATCATACAACTCTTTAGTGCTCCCATATCTGCAATACTGTTGTATTGTATGGGCCTCTACGTATTCATCTCATCTGCAACCTCTTTTCCGTCTCCAAAAGAAAGCTTTAAGAATCATTACGCATTCGCCACTACGTGCGCACACTCTTCCACTGTTTACCACACATACAATCCTTAATTTTATGTGCCAATATTTCTAGATTCCACTTCTTCACCTTGTTACTTTGCATTAAATGACACTCATGGAAGCATCAATTCAGATTTCCTTGGAGACCAATTAGCCTGCCGTTGGGTGATTACAACATCTGCCCACCAAAATATTCGTTTGAACTTCACCTTTTTTCAGTTATCGGATGACGCCTCTATTAAAGTCTACAATGGAAACAGCGAGAAGAGTTACCTACTAGGGACTTTCACTGGTACTAGACATCGTTTCGTTGTACACACCAATAACCGTTTCATGTTGGTTAAATTAACAAAGGAATACAGTGATTCTCTTTGTAAATTTGAAGCCGTGTTTACTTCGAGCACATCAAAAGGTAAGTTATGATACACCTTGATTCACAAGTGAGCAGCAAGAGCCATTATGGCCTGTCCCATTATGGCTCTTGGCAGCAGTTAACAAAAAACTAAACTAAACTAAACTTCACCGTATTTTGTTTACTGGACCAATCGGGACGGCAACTGTTTATTTGCAGATGTTTATCAAGTTCTTTGATAAATTAGTCTCATGTAGTTGTTGTTGTTGTTGTTGTTTTTTTTTTAAGAAAAACCCATCATAACGATTATGAGCCCAGAAGTTCGAACAGTACCTAGCCACTATATATGGTGCACCGCTAACGGCACCCCTCCCATTTACTTGTCCTTGGTACGATCCTCCACACAACTGGCCAGCGGTGTAGGACGGGTGCACAGTCAAATAACACAGACGGGAAATTACACTTGTACAGCTAGAAACGATGCTGGCATGGACACAAGGGATTTTTCAGTTGCAATTATTGGTAAGAATAAATTAGAAGCAAAACTTGCCAAGCCTAACAATCCTTAACTGCAATCAATTTTTAATTTAAAACTTCTCTGCTGTTGCAGACTCTTTTTTGTTAGGTTAAATGCTTTAACAGAGAAGACAAACATTGTGCTGTCGCTGATCTTATCCAGCGACTTTAATTGCAACTTGCTTTTAGAGATACTGGTTCCAAAAGCATACAATATTATCCGTATATTCTAGTATCGTAAACGGTCTGCCGCAGAGTCCGCCCGTAAACAGAAAAATATCGTTGTTTGGGTGGAAAAGTTGTTTTATAAGCATCCTCCGTCAAAGCCCGGGGAGGCACCTTCTGAGCCCTGAAATAGAAAATAAGGAAGCCGAGATTCTTTTAAGGTATCGCGTTGGAGATACTATGCTGATTACGCTCTCCATTAGGATAGGAAACGCAAAAAATAACGCTCAGTATAGATCTGTCTTTATCATGACAGATTGTGGGGGTTCTTGTTGGGAAGATGGCAACGAGATGGAAGGACAGTTCTGCAACATATATGACTGTACTGAAAACAGTTTGAGAGCGGCAATTCTGACGTGTATTGCAACAACGACAACAAAATTGTAA